GTCTCAATAAATAAGTCACAGCAAAGAAAAAGGATACTCCAGTGCACTATCTGGTTTCTCTGGCTCTTCATATAAGGCTACCAACACTGCAAATAGAAAATATTCAACAGTTGCAAGAAGTTCACACAACTCTATGTGTTTAAAGCACATACCAGCAGTCAGAAAGCATACAAGTTGCATTTTTTCCATTTAAAAAGATTTTCACCTGTATATTTTGACATAAGCAACAAGTCTGCTGTATCAGAGGGAACAGAGCATTCCACCTAGTAACAACTAAAGAGTTTTCTTGATCCCTAACCCCACATAGTCTTTGGCTGTTCTAGCACAGAACACAAAATGGCCTGAAATTCTTTTACATATGCCACATGTATCCTAGTACTAGCTTTTGCCAGTAAGACTGAAATTCTAACTATATTGTTCATAAAACTTCAACTTAAGCTACATCTTTGAACCACAAGACATCAGCAGTTTTATAACTTTCAGCATATAAGCAAACCTCCACTGAGCATCTACAGCTACAAAACTAAATAGCTACTACATGGCTAGGTGACAGTCTTTACAGACGGGGGCTCTAATGGCCAAAACCACCAGACAAAAGCAGCAATATCCCGACGACAAAAATAAAATTACCATATACGTAACAAGATAACTGGAGTCTGTCACATGAATACCCAGAAAGTTCCCAAACATAACCACTCCCTGCTCCCCACAGGGGCCATGTGCTAGTTTCAGATGTCTGAACGACACAGCCGAACTGGTTTTATGCTAAGTATCTCCTAAGTTAAAAGCAAAATTAACCTGCCTCACTGCTTCAAAGACTTGTTCTGCCATCCCATAGGATGGTATTGCAATTGAAAAATCAAATGGTACTCACACACCAGGCCAAGAGTCTTAGTGCAGCAGCTATTCGCTTGACATCCTAGATCTGCTGCTCCCTCTTTAAACAGCATATTTTCAATATTAACAGAATATTATTTTTTTCAATATTAACTGAAATATTAACAGATTTTTGCCACATATTATTCGAAGGTTCTCAGATTTTAGAAGGATTTCAAAGATACCAAGTCACACGTGTCAAGTTTAGCATCATCATTTTCCCAGTTTGATATGGAGAGTCATTATTCCAAAACTTAGTTTCATTCATTTTAGAAGAAACACTAAGCTCCATCCAATAAAAGGTTTTACACAATTAAAGTTTTTTTAAGATAATATTTGTTGTTATTTCATCATAAGCACTGACTTCCTCTGCGGAGCTCTGGCAGAATAACACGAAAACACGAATAACACGAAAAGCACGCATCGAAAGAGAATAAATTAACCGAAAGCACGCACTGAAAGAAGCACTTTGGCCGAAGAAGACAGGTTTCCAACACAGCACGCACGGGGAAAGGACCCTCCTTCCCGTTCTACACGCACCTCTAACAATCGCCCCCCACACGATGAACGTGCGAGGAGAGAACGGTTTGCAGCTCTCGGGGCACATTTCCTGCGGCCCGCTGCCCTCTCCCGGCGTGCACCGCCCCGCCGCGCAGCTCAGACTCCATTTCCAGGCCACGCCGCACCAAGTTTTCCAGGCGAGTTCTTCTGCCGGCCGCCTCGCCGGACTGAGGAGAAAAAGCGATCGGCGAGGCGAGGCGGGAAGCCAATGGAGAGCGGCAAGGCTGCCCGAGGGACGAGCGCGACGCCGCCGTGCAGGGCGGCAGCTGCTCCGCGGGAGCGGGACGCCCTGAGAGGAACGGCACCCGCCCGCAACGCCCACGAAGAGCGCCCGCCGGCCCTTCGGGCGGCACGACGTGAGCCGGAGACTTACCCTTGGTGAGCATGTCTAGCACTCCCGACTTCTCCAAGTACTGGCGGAACTGCTCCCGCTTGGAGTCCGCGGCCTGAGGGAGGACGCCCACAGGTCAGATCGGCGGCGCGCCCCGCCTCGACTGCGGAGGCGGCCCTTTGGCCCAGGCCGGTCCCGCTCTCCGCCGCGGAGGCGGCAC